ATTTTAAAGTAATTTTTATGACTTTTATTGAGGTAGGACCATAGACTGTCTAAAAACATGGACTTAATGTCCGTGAAGTCAACCGTAGTGTTCTGAAGACAGTTTTTGAAGCTCAAAAGTGGGCGGAGGCGGCCGTCGCCATCTTGGCAGTGCGTCGCGCGTCACTTGTTGAAACCACGCCCACCTAGCTCGATGGTGGTGACAGCAGCAGGAATCCACCGGTCACTCAAGTGGCCACGCCCTTAATTATGCAGAACTTTAAGGCTTATTATAATTTAAATGGATGAGTTATAAAAAAAATTCACCCCCCTCACAGTTGTCATGAAGGGCAAAATTAGCTATATGGACCAAAATAATTTTTTGAACCAGGCTGTAAACATGTTTTTTTTTCTGCTGTAAAGTTGGGCATTTTAACATGAGGAGTCTATGGGATTGACTCCCTTTTGCAGCCAGCCTCTAGCGGCCAGTTGACGAATTACAGTTTAAGTCACTTCCTTGTTGGCTTCACGAGAGAGAGCGGGAGGTTGCCGCTTGGGTAGGACAGTATATAGAGAGACAACAGGAAAGCACTGGGTGTAGAGAGGGGAGCGGAGTCGGCAAAGGACCTCAAGATGGCAATCGAACTCGGGTCGTCATGAGCTCTGTTGCACTGTAGGTAGATGCATTTAAAGCATCATATAAAAAAAAAACGAATAACACAGATTGTATAATTTGCACATTGACAATTGTAATTTGGTTATATCTGACATTAAGTAAATACATCTTGACAAGGACACTGGTCTGTTTGACATCAGTTAAGCTTTTAATATTTTTCATATGGCTCCCTTGACACGAGGATATGATAAGAGCTGTTTAACTTGGACAGCTCCCTCTTTGTGTCTGTAGGTCACCAGTCTTTAACTGTGGCCATGGGTTCATTGTGAATCAGCCTGAATTTATTTCTATTTAATTAACTTTGCACAGACCTCAGGCTCGTGGTTTCCTCCCTTCCTTCTTTCATAGTTACTGAGCCACATAGTTACTATTGTACAAGGAAAGTTAAGTAGAGAGAGTTATAGTAGATATAAAACAACAAATTACAACTGAACTAGTCCCAGCCTCAGTTTGTTAGTGGCATTAAACCGTTGAAAATCTTCAGTTTTGTTTGAAGCACTTCAGAACTAGTCATCTAGATGAGAAGAATTGTATATTATATTATTTATTTTGTTTCTGTAAAATAGTCTATACTTTTCTACCTTTTCATCAGATCACAAAGCCTCTGGACCACATTCAAACATTAATAGTAAACGTTATTAGTGTGGTGTGTGGAGATTGTACCAAATCAGTCACTTATTAGGTTCCACAATTCTCCCACATAAACACCATGGCTCAATGTTAACTGCTAGAGTTTTGAGTGAAGTTGCTCTTCAGATTGTGTCTTTCAGTATGAATATTGTCCTTTATTGTGGAGGAGTGAGAAAAAGAGCTAGAGAAGATTGAGGAGAGTCTCAGCATACCAATCCTCTCTCGTGGTGATGACATGGGCGGCAGAACAACAGCGTGCTGGCATGACACAGGCTCACAGCCAACATCATTGGCCACAGACAGAAGGCTTTTCACAAACACATGGAAGTAATGTGGAGGTCTTCATACCCAAACAGACATTTCAGAACTATTTAGGTTTTGTGGGTGCTCAGTGCTCCTCTTTCAGTTGTGCTAAGTTTATACTATGTAGACCACAAAAGTATGCCCTATACAATATATTTAACCCCCCTACTACGAAAGATAATTTTATAAATCAGTATTTAATCCACTAAAGATGAATTGTACTCAAGCTTGAGGATCAATTGGAGTCCCTTTTTCCCACTCGTCTAACAAGCTTGACTTTATTTTTGTGCAGATATATACACACCCTAATAGAAATGTATATGGTCTGTGTTATCTGTACATGAACATGCTTGCGCATATGATGAAATATGATCGCTAGGACTTGGCTTTTTCCAGACACTCCAAGCGTGTTTGACCTTGTGGTCAGAGCAGATCTGAAAACATCACAAGCAGTGCCAAGGAGGAATGTGCGTCCATGTCTGTATGTGTTTGCGCATATGTACCTTAGGTCTGTGTATTCCCTCCACCAGCTAAGTCAAGTTTCTTTGAGCATCCCCAACTCAAGCACCCGTGAGAGAACTTTATACAAACTTCTGTGGCCCAAAGCCCTGTATTTTTGCAGGTGTAGAAACTAGAAAGTGTCTACTTCCTTAATTCTGGTAATGCCCATCTGTCGTAATAGTAGAGAGAGAGAAGACAGAGGTGTTTGACCGCATGTAGATGAAGTAGCTTATGTTGTACACGACCTTATGTCTTAAAACCACAGTATGTTGTTCCTTTGAACGTGTTTGAATATTATTTCGCTTAAGAACGTCGCCATGATGTTTTTGGAGGTTTAGGAATAAGTAGGTTTCACTGACGAAAAGAAGCAAAGGGGCCTGAAGGTAGTTGTTTTTCAGAACGTTCTGGTTCCCAGTACTGGTATGATCTTACATCTTAAAGGTTTGGTTTATTGTATATATTTGTGTGTTAGAAAGGATCAGTCACCACGGCTGTAGCCTCCTCTCTCTCCAACCACAAAAAGCCCAAACGCCCCCTTCTCGCTTTCGCTCCAAACACCGTTCCAGACATTTGGGTGGTCGGCGTAAGCTAAGCTTTGTTTTTCTTGCTATTCACACATTTTACAATCCTTCAAGGGGAACTTTTCAAAGCTCCCACCACAACTTTGAGTCTGATGTTTAGTTTGCTTTGATTTGAAAATATGCATTTATTTTTTTGAGTTGGCCATTTTGGGCTGAGGTCCCAGCCTGGCATCTGTCCCTTTCCTTACTGAAAAAAATACATGCATGCCAAATAATGTGCATGTAGTTTGTTGTCCATTTCTACACCAAGGGAAACCCTCCACAACATAAGTCTTTGGGTTTTTGCTTTTAACCACAAAAAGTGCTTCCATCATAGTTCCTGAAGCAGAAAGACATGAACCAAACTGCTGTGAAAATGTTGTATCAAAACCACAAATGAACCTGGAAACTTCACATAATATATATGTCTCTAAAATGTCCACATACCTTCTCTGTTCCAAAATTGACTGCTGTGAAAATGTTGTATCAAAACCACAAATGAACCTGGAAACTTCACATAATATGTCTCTAAAATGTCCACATACCTTCTCTGTTCCAAAATTTAGTGAGCTTCCTACCTAGACAGCATCATAGACTAAATCCAATGCAGGCAGCAACATAACAATTACTTCCCAAGATAACTTGTTTTGGCCAATATATTTTTTGTTTGTTTTTTTGTAAACAATGCAGTCCCAGAATGTATTACGAAATAAATCAAAATGGTGAATGAGTTGAAAGAAATGGTGATTATAAATGTATCTAATTCATATGGTAAAATGGTTTATTCTAACTAGTGCTGTCAAACGATTAATCGCATCCAAAATAAAAGTTTTTGTTTACATAATGAGTGTGTACTGTGTATATTTATGTATATATAAATACAAGCACATGCATGTATATATTTAAGAAAAATGTTATGTTTATATATTAAATATATTTATATATAATATAAAATATAATAAGATAAATGTATATACATGTAAATATTTTCAAAATATATACTGTGTGTGTTTAAATACATAATAACTAAACAGTACACTTACATATATTATGTAAACAAAAACTTTTATTTTGGATGCCCAAGCACTAATTTTATTTTGACAGCACTAATTCTAACCCGTTATTTGCATATGTTTACATTTATAGTATTGCAGTTAGCTTAGTGACATGCTAACATCAAACTCTATTGGAATCAATAGTAAACGTTACTCGTGTGGTGTGAGGAGATTGTTCCAAATCAGTCACTTATTAGGTTCCACAATTCGTAAGAGGCTGCTGCCTATGTAGTTCACTAGGTTTTGGAACAGGACTTCAACAAATCATAAAGATACAGAATTTTCTAAAGGTGTCACTGAAAAGGCACACATCACCCTTGTTCTTGTTAAAACTTGACATTACCTTTTACAAATGAGTTTGAATTACTCAGTATAAGTATAAAAACTAGTAAGGACTTTGACGGGTTTAGTGTTCATTATAAGTTCTTATCTGTATTGAATTAGTTCTCTGATGCTCTCCATACAGTATTGTTTGCGGAGAAGCTTTGCTTAATGCCATTAGGCTGCATTGTCTTTAGCGCTAAGCTACTTTGCACTGACAATAGCCCTGAACCCAAGCCAAAGGAAAGGGAAGCTTCTCTTGCTATTGTGCCGCTTTGTGCAAATTACTTAATTAGCAAACGCGCAAACCATTACTTTAAGTCAATTTGCATTGGATACACAGTACATTATGTGCGCTCTGTGAGAGTTTTGTGTACATAGCTCTTGTAGTAGCAGCACTTTGAGCTAGTGCTTTGTTTGGAAGATTAGATAAAGGCTAGAAGAACTTCCTAGTTTTCCTCCCTCATTCATTTCCTATTAAAAAGGCTTTTTGCACTGCATTTGGTGTGTGTGTGTGTATATATATATATATATATGTATACAGTGGGTACGGAAAGTATTCAGACCCCCTTACATTTGCAATATAACAGAGTGAAAAATGTAAGGGGGTCTGAATACTTTCCGTACCCACTGTATATATGTTTGTCTAATAAAAATATGTAAAATAAAGAAAATATCCTTAAAACAAGATCAGTTTACTATTTTGTATAATAATATGTACTTGTATTCAATGAATTTATCTTCAGTGAAGTTTATTTTTTCATCTCCACTGGCATTTTTAAGCATTTTTTAATTGTTTTTTCTTTTAAATAAGAAAAACATGCCTATGGGTTCATATAAAAAATACAGATTTTGCAGTGTTTTAAACTATATATTATGCTTTATGAATGCAAGTCATGTGAAACATCCCTGCCATCTCAGGTAAGTTTGTATCATGACACACCCCGCGGGGTCTGTGTGTGTGTTTTTTGCGTAGTTATGCTGCCCTCGATGGTGTTGCATAAATCGACAGTGCAGCCGTACCAGCGTGGGTTCTACTGCGCGGACGACAGTATCCGCTACACCTATAAAAGCAGCACTGTGCCTTCTTCTGTGCTCACAGCCGTGGGCCTCCTCCTGCCCATTGCCAGTGTAAGTGCCCCACAGAGGGGCCTCAGACAGGGTACATGGGGCCAGGCGAGTGGGGCGACTGCGTGGGAAATGAAGTCTTTTGAGAGAGTTTTCATAGATTATAACCTAGGAGAAACTGCTAGTGCATAGTGCCAATCACAGACAAACATTAACTATGTGTAGCCATTCACTTCTCTCAGAAGCCGAGCTACCATGTCAGACCCCACTCCCCCTGCCTGGTATTTCCTATAATCCTCGGCTGCCGTGTGCTGTGCTGTGCTGTGCCGCTACCTGCGTGTGTCTTTCTGTGACTGACCTGAAATCTCTCTCTCTCTCTCTCTCCCCCCCCACTCTCTCTCTCTTTGTGTGCGTGTGTGTGTGTGTGTTTCGCTGTAGCTGGCCTGCCTTTCCTGATAATTGAAACTAGCACAATCAAGCCATACCATCGCGGGTTTTACTGCAGTGACCAGTCCATCCAGTACCCATATAAAAACGGGGACACCATAAGTGATGCCGTGCTCTGTGCCGCTGGCATTCTAATTGCCGTCCTCTCTGTAAGTTCCTCTCTTATACATATTCATATAAATATACCACTAATTCATATAAACATCCCATCTTCATCCCTCACCCCCTATTAGACCATAGATATTAGTAAAATAGGCTAACTGTAGAACTAAATGGTGACTTATAGTAGATAACTCTACCCATAATCCTTTATAAATCTATTAACCAATCCTCCCCATCCCATCTTTTTATTTAAAATATTTGAATAACTCAACATCAAGAGATTTATCGTGGTCAGGGCTATCGCTGTCTCTCTTCTTCCTGTCTCGAGCTTAGTCTCTCTGTTCTGTCGTCTTTTGTCTGCATGTGTTTTGTGATATATTGATCTTTTTGTGTTTTTACTTTTTTTTTTTTTTTTAAGTAATTCTCAAAAACAGCAATGCTGAGTTAATGTATAAAATGTTATAAACCAGTAATGTAATAATAGAAACCTTGTAAAAAAGAAGTAGACTTTAGCATACTTTAAAAAAGAGAGCTTATGGAAGTAATATATTATAAAATTATAAAATAGACATGTGTAATGTTTTCCTCACAAATGCTGACAAGCATTTATTTAAATAAAAACTGTCATTTCTATTGAAACTATCATGTATTTAAATATTTTTTGTAAATAGGCATTTCAAATGATGAAGTTGCAATGTAGTACATTTAAAATATATTTACTTGATTAACATGATACAGTTAGAATGAAAATCAAATCAATTACATGTAATGTGTTAATAAGTGAAGTTCTTTAAAGGAAAATAAATAAAATCTTAATGGTCCCAAAAAGTTTCTTATATTTCACCCCAAAATCAGAAAGAAATTAGCAGAATAAGTTCTTGACAGATTTTGTGAAATGTACTTAATTTAGTGAATTGAATTTGGGGGGATTGAAAAGCCTTGCAAAATTAAATTTGAGTGCAGATAAATCTGGATAAGAGATTAAACCGCCCCACAGCTGCTGAGGTGTTGAATTAGTAGACATTCACAGCCTTTGTGACAGCTGCCAAAAGGTCAACCTCTTACAAATGAACCCAATCACCTGGAGGACACATGTTCGACGAAGAATCAGAAAGAATGCAACGTCAAACCCGATTACTTTTAGCTCTTGTGAAACTCCAAAACAATGTCTGAAAACAAAACTTCAACATGCCAGGCTATCCCCTTGTGGAATAAAGTGGTGGAGATGAGGGAAGTGGTCTTGCAGTAAAAGCCCCTGTAAACTGGCATGACACCAAACCATGACTCCATGCAGATCCCATATGGAGACATGCATGCCTCACTGTCTGGAGTAGACATGTTCCCATGCTCAGCAATTCTCCTGATTAAAATAAGGACTGTGTGCGCATATATATGTATATATGTGTGTGTTGGCACCCCTCACACAGCTGTAGTTAATTAGCAGTGTCTCCAGTCCTAGTTTGGTTAGGCCTCAGGGAAAGCAGTCCCACTCTTCACTACCACCACAACAGCGTTCCTCTACAGTTTGAAGAGAGAAAAGAAAAAGGAGTGAGAGATAGTAAATATCTCATTAAGCATGGTTTATGTACTTCATAACCCATGCCTCTTTTTTTTTAATTAACGCCCTACTGGTTTCAAATGGTGCAGACCTCTGTTTTAAAACCCCATGCTCTAACTGCTCAAATGAAAGCTATAACCCTTAAAAACATATGTTCCATATCATTCAAATATCACCAGCAATGGGCAGGCCATGCTCAGTCATAACTCAAGTTACTTGTTTTCTCTAATTTCTTTCACTCATTTGTTCTTGCTTTTTTTTTTTTTTTTATAATGTGCTTTCCTAACTGGTACCTCATTTGCATGTTTGTCTAACTCCACCCTGCATGCCCATGACCTGACCACTGAAATCTGAAATCACTGAACTTGTGATATTATTCAATGACACATTAATGTTTGTGGTATGACTTCACAAATTCACCATCACTTTATGATCTTAATGATATTGAGCTCTGTTCCAAAACCTAGTGAGCTGCCTTGCTTTCTAGTGCCTATATGGGCAGCTGCCTACATAGGCATCCTAAACATCATTGAACCTAATAAGTGCACGATTTGGAAAACTATGTAGGCAGCAGCGCTGAGCATCACACAAATTGGTTTAGTGTTTATTGTTAGCATGTTGCTAAGCTAACAGCATTGAAAAATACAGATATTGTGTGAAGTGAGTTTTAATGGCACTGAACAATTTAACTAATACTTTTCAGTATTGATGAAATATGTTTATTCATAATCAACATCTCTGCTCATTTACCATCTTTTTCCATTAATCTGTGCACAATGCATTTATTATTGGCTTTTTGCGTGACGTTGTCTTAGAATTTCACTAGGTTTTGGAACAGAGCCTGTATGTAATATTAATCTCGGCGATCAGTGATTTTATATATTTTTTTTCATTGCAAATTAATCGTTTTTCTAGATTGTGATTGGCGAATGCTACAGGATCCATTACCTGAACCAGGGCTCCAAATCGTTTGTGGGAAATCCATATGTCTCCGCCCTTTACAGACAAGTGGGTGTGTTCATCTTTGGCTGCGCCGTCAGCCAATCATTCACAGACATCGCCAAGGTCTCGGTTGGACGGATGAGGCCGCACTTCCTAGACGTTTGTAAGCCTGACTACACTACCATCAACTGCTCTCTGGGATATATTACTCAATACACATGTCTTGAAGATTCCAGCAAAGTACAAGAAGCCAGGTGAGATATTCAACACTCACTTGCACATGGGATAATAAAATGTCACAGTTTTGACAAAAATATTAATCATAACTTTTTTCAACATTAAAATAGTAATGAAGGGATAGTTCACCCAAAAAGGAAAATTCTGTCATTAATTACTCACCCTCGTCCAAATCTGTAAGACCTTCGTTCATCTTCAGAACACAAATTAAGATATTCTTGATGAATGAAATCCGAGAGCTTTCTGACCCACCATAGATAGCAACACAACTACCACATTCAAGGCCCTGAAATGTAGTAAGGACATCATTAAAATAGGTAATGTGACATCAGTGTTTCAACATTAATTTTATGAATCTACGAGAATACTTTTTGTGCGCAAAGAAAACAAAAATAATTATTCAACTTTATCCAACAATTTCTTCTCTTCCGTGTCAGTCTTCGCTTGTGCATTCATGAGAGTACTGCGATGCATATGAGTTCTAAATATTAATATAATAAACAAATATATATATATATATATATATATATATATATATATATTTCCATAGATACTTGAATAAATACATTTAAATGTTTTAATGTATTTAATAATAAAACACATTGATTAAATGTTCTTTTTTTTTCTCCCTACAGAAAATCCTTCTTTTCTGGACATGCTTCATTTTCGATGTACACCATGCTGTATCTGGCAGTAAGTACATACACTGTGTAGTGCTCTCACCCTGTCACAGTTCTATTATTTTACTAAAGAGCTGTTCATTCATGACTGTTATGTCTAGTATGAGACAGGGACCCTCTATCGCCCTTTCACCCTCCTCTGTGGGTCTCTGAAATGTGGGTCACTCTTATTTTCCTTGTTCATCTCCCGGATGGACACACTCCACCTGTTTTTATTTGTGCAGCTGTATATACTTCCCTTCTCTCTGAAGTTGTCCTTCATTTCTCCCTCATTCCTTATGCTTTATTTCTATTCTCTTTTTGAACGGGTCACATACTTTTTCCACACTAATTATGCGGAATCCCTAATATAGCTTTACATACACACAAAGGCAGATTTCGCTCAGCCTCCTGGAGTCTCTCACTGTATATAAAGCCTCTTTCAAAGGCTTCAGACTTTTTCCCTTTCACATGCACGACCCTCCACTCCTCCCTCCTTTTATTCAAGTCCTTTCTTTCTGCATCTAACTCATCAGCATCTCCATGGGCCCCTCCACCTTTCACTCTTTCAGATAGAGCCGCTCTGCTAATAGAGGTGGCCAGATGTTCATTCTCAGCATTTTGAGATATTATTTGAGAAAGTTAGGAGGGTGATAGAGAATATGTGCTTTTGAGGCCACAAACCTGTTCATAAACTCATGCAGGTTTGGTTCTAATGCTCTCAAAACAGCCATTAAATTAATGTGTGACTTGACAGCTGGGCCTGATGCCCGAAACACTGACCTGAACACTTCCTATACAAGAGGAAGCAGTACGTTAAGAACCAGACCCATGGCAGGTTCTGTTGAGTGTTTTGTGACTAAAACAATCAGTTTTTACACATAGACCTGCTGTATTTTAAACCATAGTGATTAGCCACAAGGCAGGAGAGATGTCAGCCAGTGTTACACATTATTATTCATGGAGAAAAACAAGCATTGAGGAAAACAGGATTCTAAAAAGCTTGAGTTCTTCCAGAAACCTTCTTTATAACTTCGATCACTGCAGTCTGAATTATCATCTTGATTTTGAAAGCCTGGATTTGTCTCTGAGTGTCTCTGAGGGGCAAATTGTTCAGATTTGATCAGAAACCCTGGCCAGATATCTCACTGCCAAAGCCAAAGTGTAGTCAAAATCCATTATAATATGTGAACATGTGAATAGATTATTATGTTAAGATACAGGTTGACTATCTAAGATTATTTTACCATCTGTTCTTGGCCTTCAAAGTTAAAAACGAGAGGCCAAGAGAGAACGCTCTGAGATATCTAAGCACAAAGCATGATAAACAGAATTACAGACCTGAATAAATCTGAAAAAAAGTGGAGGAAAGTGCTCTCTGAGTAGAGCGATCGAGTGAAACAGTCTTACTGACTGGAGCGTTACCTTTCCCGGTCTCACTCCCTGTAATTATCTCAGTCTAGCTGTCATGCTTCATGGGTCAGACGCTGAAGTCATAATGAGAGCTCACACCAGTCTCGTGATCCCCTTTTATTTGCACAAACGTAACCTAGGTCAAAAGTAGACAGCCTTTGTTCTCACCAAATTTGCGAATGAATCATTCTGGCACAGTACCTCAAAACAGAACCCACACCTGTTTCATCAGTGACGCTATAATAAATGTATCTCACTTTTTTGATGTTCCTTGTAAAATCATAGTGGTTACATAGAAACCAAGATGAATTCCCATGAAGTCTGCACGATTTTTTTTTTAAAGATTTTTAAGTTTTTTTTTTAAGTTTTAAGATTTGCATTTTTAAGGCACTCTACCAAATTGAAAACCAATAGTAAAACTTTCACCAGTGACTTCTTTTCTTTTTGACTTCTTTTTCATTAGGCCAATGTTTAATTATATTTTCAATTAAAATAATATTACTTATCATGAAACTTCACATTAAAAACATTCAGATATATATATATATGTGTGTGTGTGTGTGTGACCCTGGACCACAAAACCAGTCTTAAGTAGCACAGGTATACTTGTAGCAATAGCCAACAATACATTGTATGGGTCAAAATTATCTATTTTTCTTTTATGCCAAAAATCATTAGGATTTTAAGTAAAGATCATATTCCATGAAGATATTTTGTAAATTTCCTACCATAAATATATTTAAAAAGTGAATTTTTGAGTGGTAATATGCATTGCTAAGGACTTCAGATATTAGAAACATATTCAGATATACTTCCAGATATTCAAATATTTGTTTCTCGGCCAAATATTGTCCTATATATATATATATATATATATATATATATATGTGTGTATATGTTGTTCCCCAGATATTGAGATCAAATTCAGGTTAAGATACCTAAATGTAATAAGTTGAGCTCTGCCCCCTAGAGTGACTGCTAGTACACTGTACATTTATGCGGTTGAATGGTGGGTCTTAGGGTCTTAGTTGAACCACAGTATCCATGCAGGTCAACCTCATGTGCTTATTGAGTTGGAACAGCATATCAGTTTGTTCTGGAGAGCGAGTGGATGTGGGCATTTTGTGGACAGCAAACTGGGCATTTCCTAGCCTCTCAATGACCTCCACACTCCATAGTCCAATGACTTCTGGTTTGGCTGCTGCATCACTGCGCCTCTCAAACCGCATGGTGACACAATATGCTCTAGTTAGCTGTAGTGACCAGAGAACAGGCAGTGAATGATATGAGACCATGGGCAGAGTAGAAACAAGCACAAACCACTCACAGGCAAATCTTCTACCTGCTTGTTTTCAGGCTTATTTCTCTGTATGTTGTGGTTATTAACATGTGGCGAGGCTGCTGAGTAATATTTTTGGACCTGAGGTCAGTGTAGAAAAGACTTTAGTGGTGAAGTTTGACTGTTTTCTACCAGAACTGGCAAGATTCAAGTGCAAATACACTTCAGAATGACCCACAAAACCATGCACAGCACCATGAAAGACCAGCCTTTCCTTTCAAAATATTGCAAAATAAGTATAGTTTTCCTCACACTCACCTTTTTTGTTAAGATGACACGATTTATTATACCACATCTCTCTTGCTTTTTCTTTTTCCCTTACCAAGTTGGACTAAACATGCCATTTTGTGGCTGTTTATATGACCTGAAGTCAATTGCTGGGCTTAAAGGAAGAGTTTATTCATATTATTCCAAACCTGTATGACTTTCTTTTAGAGAACACAAAAGGAAAAAAGCTTGATGACTGTACTGGTCACTTCTTTTCCATGCAATGAACTGGGACTGAATCTTTCAATCTTAAAAAGGATGCAAAGCCCATAAAAAGTATCAAAACGTATCAAATTATATTTTTTTGTATATAATTTTTTTTTATATAAAAAGTAGCATCCATATGACTCAGATACTAGATTCCAAGTCTTTTGAAGTGATACAATACATTTCAGTTTAAAATTAAAGTTGGTTTTGGCTTAAAAAAAACTTGACTTCTAGCCTAGTTCTCTTGGTATGCTCATGAGAGTTTGTGAAAAGTAGCATTGTTCAATTCATGAATACATATTTTTGCAGCCAGCTCTTAATGAATCTTAATTCACAAAATATCTGAATGATTCATTCACGAACATGGCTGATTTGGTATGAATACATAACGGCATAGTTCACCCAAAAATGAACTCACCCTCATTTCGTTCCAACATTATAAGACTTTTGATTATCTTTGAAATAAAAATGAAGAAATTTTTTAATGAAATCTGATATATTTCTTTTCCTCCCATGAAATCCATTACACCATAACTGACACAATTCAGAGACATGAGTTTATATGAATCGAGTGGTTTAATTCAAGTCCTTTGAAGATGATCACTTTATATGATGAACAGATTCAATTTAGGCTTTTATTCATGTATAAAAATTCAATGCACATACATAGAGCACATCATGTATGGCAAATCATATATGGTTTGTTTTTGCGTGCAACACAGTCATGTTTGAGCCACCAAAAGAATCAGTGAGGTTTATAACTTGTACAAGGCTTATGAACCACTTTCATGACTCTTTTGTAGTGCATTTGAATCCTTTTTTTAAACTTTTGAAAAAAAATTCTAGCACAGTCTTCAGAATTGTTCTATCCATGGAAATTAAATTTTTTTAACAACATGAGTGTGAGTAAATGAATTTTTGAACATTAATCCTTCAATAGCCCACCAGGATCTTTTCCATTGTCCCATTTGATACCTCAATCAGATCTGATGGTACCACCCAGATCGCTTGCGGGGAGGAACTGGATGGAGACTGTCAGTGGGACAGAGTATGTTATCTGCACAAAGATGTGTGTTACTTCTCATGTGGGCACAGGGTGTGTGTATGTGTTTGTGTTTTGAGTTTGCATGTCGCTGGAGAATCTAAGACCACACGTCTGCCATTCCTGCTGCCACCACCTCACAAAGCACAGAGATGAGAGAGCCATATACATCCCACAACGTCTGTGCTTATCTGAGCTCTGATAGCAAGATGCTAAGAGGCAGATTTGATGGACTGTATCTGAGCCCTGAGGGTCCTCAGGCTCTGCTGTTCTTATCAGCTCTTGGATGCCTACGTGTGGAGAGGACCCCACTCTCGCCCTGAGGAACAGAGCCACTTTAAGAGTTTGGAGAAGTCACAGAACTCATCTCTACATCTCCAGACTCAGACATGCTGGCTTACAGCTAAAGAGATCAGCGTCAGCGGGACTCCCTGTGTGTCGGATGTCACCCTTCCATGACCTCTAACAGTCCAATATATACCAGAACTCTCTCTTTGCCGTTTTAGTGTAGAAAAGATTTAGGGGTGCCACAAGTCCTGATTCAAATAAAATTAGAAAATGCTTTCGAGAACTTAGAAAAATGCTGAATTCATTGTTCTGTTCTACCACTCCCGCGTGTGTAAATGAGCTTATTATGGATGCTATCCAGAGGCCCTGGTTGTCTTGTTTGTGTTATGGCCACTTGTTGATTTTTAAAGTGAAATGACAATAGCATTTCACTTGTTGTGCTGCATTGCGCAACATTCACAGTTGGTGCGAAAGAGAGCATGAGAATGTCACTGTTGTCTCTAAGGCTCAACTCTTTAATTTTGGAGGACCAATCTGCTATTTCCTCTATTTTCTGTTATTTGTTTGGTTGGAAGGTTGGAAAACACTGGAAGCCTTCATAAATAATTCGAACAGTAAACAAAATTATTTTGTTCTCAGTTTGTCATCTGTGACGTCAGAGAAAAATCTTAAAATGCAATAACAAAACAAGAACATAAAAAAGAGGAAGGGAAAACCTCAGGGATTGCTTATTCCGTTTTTCATTTTAACAATCCTAATTTATTGATTCACTTTTGTAATTTAGTTTGCATTCAGAAATAAGCGAACAGACCTCTGTCTCCATAAACCACAGATCTGCGGTTGAAGAGCATTCCATTGCATTCACATGGCCTGATCAAAGATATTATTGACACGTTTGTTTCTAAGTTCTCCGCAGGAACTTTTTGTCAGTATAGGAATGCCAAGTGTATGAAAGTCTGTGGTTGAAATAGCTACAGATGATTGGTTAGAAATTCTTTCATTACTGCCAACATTGAGGCCAAGCTGGATCAAAATGAGCATGAGTATGAATTTATTTATTTATCTTCTGCCTCAGATTAACTTTAGCCATATAATCAAGCAAGTATCTCCATTTCAGTCAGTCATCTATGACATCTAACTCTTCTCTTCAGCCAGCTGTAAACCCAACAACTCATATACAGTAGCATGAGAGGAAGAAACAATTGCTGATTCAGGCAAAAATGGCTGAAGTTGTTTTGTTTCAACATATTTTAAAGACTTCCCGCTTTGGGCCACAATGTAAATTGAAATGAGACAGCAGGCCATATGTTGATTCCAATTGGTTTGAGGCACAAACGCACATAAACACCCTTAGATGCTTATCACTCTACCATCCTTCCGTTCTGAGGGGATGTTTTTATGAGATAAGATCAATTGAAAATGATTGAGGAGGCCTCTATTTATCTTCAGTCTTTTGCATATATGAGCATATTTGGCGCATGTAGCAGTAATGCTAATCTTCTGCATAGTTAAAAACTCCAGAAATCCAAACGGCATTACCTGACTGCAGAGAACTCATCAAAATCGAATTTGCGAAGACTCGAAGAGCTGTCAGTCTGCTTGTGCAGGCACACCCATCCTGGCATCATCTTAGAACTTCATCCAGCAAGGAAACTCCAACTCCCAAACATCCTCAGGGAGGGATTCCTTCCTCTCTACGCACACAATGCCTTCGGAGCAAGGAGAGAGCTGTTCAGGAAAGCAGACATGACCTTGTACACACCTTTGTTTGAAGCTCAAAGCTCAAGATGGTTATTGTTTGTTTTGTCTAACAGATCATCTGAGTTTGTGCATGAGTGTTTATCAGTTAGTGTCTATGTGTATGGGTGTGTTCTGTTGTCTGCTGTGGTTTCAAACTTAATGGAAGTTTTCCTTCTCGAGTGGTGATGGATGATTAAGGGAGGGTGATGAGTACAGGGTCTTTAACTGACCCAATTTGAAGGGTTTCAGGACTGATGGGCTGCCGAAGCGTCGTCAACAGTTTGTCCTCCTGACCCCCATCCTCCCCTTGTCTTTGTAACCCTCAATCATTTGTTTTCTTACCCTTACAAGTATTCCTGTTCCCAGAAAGCAAACTCTACAAGGGGTCCTTGGATTTAGGTGGCTAGAGAAAGAGAGACCTTTTTTTCAGTCCTGTCCGGTGCTACTTTGGGTTCTCAGTTTTTCAGTCTCAGCTCCACCTCCCACATTCTCTCCCACATATTTATTTCTCCACCTTCCTTTGTTTTCTATCTAATTTCTCTAACCCTAACCCTAACTTGTTGTATTATCTCAGCTGTTATGTAATAAAAACACAAGTTGTACAGATGTTCCCATTGGTTAAATTGCTTTCCATCTCTTTTTCTTTAGTTCTACCTGCAGTCTCGGTTCACGTGGCGAGGAGCCCGTCTGCTGAGGCCACTCGTGCAGTTCACCTTGCTAATGATGGCCTTCTACACTGGGTTATCACGTGTTTCTGATCACAAGCACCACCCCACTGATGTTTTAGCTGGCTTTGCCCAAGGAGCCCTGGTGGCCTACTGCATAGTAAGTACATCTTTGTATTTCTATCCATTTCATATTTCTTTAAATATAGTTTAGTATCTTTAAGGAGTCAAGAGGCCATTGTGGAGTCAATCTTGAATTAGTTTTTATTGGTTGGAATGTAAACCAATCTGGAAATTTCGTACTTTACAACATTTAATAACCATTGGCCTTGATCTGGTTGTCATCACAACATCTGGATTTTTTTTTTAATATTGGTTAACAAACATTTTTGCAACAATGTTAACACAAGAAAAACTAATTAAACATTACTTTCATAAATATGCTGGCAATTAACAACTCAAACACGTTTGACAATATAGCATATGTTTTCCCGTTTCCCACTCTTCACTTTAAAACATGAAAATGTTTTACTTTTTCTGTTTGTTATAGTCCATGAGTATGTTTGAGCTCAACTAGAGGCAGATTTATCAGATAACTTGACAAAAGAACCATTAAGAACAGACTTTATCTTGTGTCTTCTGAATAAAGTGAAGTCAGAAGGCCATCCGGAGTTTGAGGTCAGAAGGGGATCTGAATATCTGGAACCAGACCACAACATTCTCCAGACCTCGCCCTCTCTCTTTTTCACCCCTATCCACACAATTGCTCATCCATCAGAGTGAAGCATAAACTTTTTCTTGCTAATGCAGAGCATATTGCCTCAATTGCACCATTACAGACTCTCAAATGAAAAGAGGAGGGGGAGGGTTGTGGAAAAAGGAATTTTACACTTCGTAATTGTAGCACATGTCACTTTTGTTGGTGCCAGACTTTCCCTGCAGTAAGCAAAGCTTCATTCAGTTGGATTGTGTTTGGGGAAAATTGAGTCGAGGGGAACTGAATGTACAAAGAGAGAGCATTTTCTCTTAAGGCAATGACAATGTTAATTATTCATTTGAGAAACGAATATCTGTTTATCTGCATCGTAAGGGGATGGTGCAAAGATTTGAGGCCCATTTTTTTAGGGGGAGGCAGGAGACCAAGACCTCTTCCCCCAGATATCACCCCATCTACAACATCTGAAAGACAAATATTTAAATTGTTAGTGTTGAAATTGGTATATTGAGTTGTGTTTCTCAACATTACAATTCCCAGAATGTCCTAGCAGTGTCTTTCTTCCCTCTAATTAGCTGTGACAGCGCCACACTTTTTATGGTACACAGATGTTCGCCAAACATCTCTCTACTGGTATCATGAACCTTCAAAACATTTAATCTCCAATCCTTGAATATGCTGAACCCTGTGTGGTTTAGTTTTCAGTTGGCTCTTGTCTTTATTTATTGGCATTTCAATTTTTCCAAGAGCAGTTTAAGCTTTCGCCAACCCTTTATTAACCTCATTAAGAAGGACATTTTTAGTGAAACAATCTTGTTTCGCTCAAATTATCCATCCACTGCTAATGATCTTGATTGTTTTTGAGCCTCTCAAGTTCAAGGTGTAGGAGCTAGTCTTTGACATCTAGAGAAGTTTCTCCCTAGTGTGAAAAAACAGAAAATAGCAGATAAGTACAAATAAGAGAGAGCAGAAATTAGATCCTTTTCACTACAGATCAAGGCGCCCATGTACTTGTTTTTAACGAGCCTACATTTGGAATCTGTTCCGCTCCCCATCTGTGAACGCTTTAGAGGTCCAATTAAAGTATCTCTAATGACCAAAGCTCAGATGGAGCCTATGGAGGTAATGCAAGGTACGTGTCTTTAAAAGAAAAGTTATGTCCCCATACATCAAGCATTATTTTCGAACCATAGGTGGCAGTGCAACTTATCCAAACTTCTCAGCAAGTAGTCTCCGACAGTTCATGGTTTGGAGGTGCAGCAATTCTTCTAAGCTTGGCTGTAGGTGCAGATTTCTGCTTAAGGGGGTTGTGTTTAAAGACGTTTAAAGGTTGTAAGTGCTCTGGGTCGGTGTCCAACTGGCTAGCTTCAAAGAAACCGTGGAATATTACAGGTCTTGGTGAGTTTTAGCTGTATTGCAAAAGCTGATTACAGACTTGCTGCATGTTCCATATTAAAGAGGATCAGTTCACATGGCGCTGTTAGACTGGGATGCCCACAGAGAACTGATCTCAGAACAGCAATTAATGTCAGTCTGCTTATGTATCATGCAAGGGAAACTTAAAACGTCGAGCAGCACAATGTTAACTAGGCCGTCAGTTTCGTTCAATCTCAAAAGGAGACTCCTAAAGTCCTACATTCAATTCCTTGTACTCAGGCCTGGTTTGTATCAGAAATGTTGGCAAGATTCACTACAATGTTACGATTGCTGAAGTCAGGCAGCCTAGCATATGTTTAAATTCTGATGTCTAAATGTCTAAAAGAACCCTTGAGATTCAGACTTCAGAAACCGCATTTTCCTTCTGTCTTTTCTGGACTGTTGACTGCGGCCACATCCTCCGGTCCTTCCTGTTGGAGAGTGGCATGAGCTGTTTGTTCATGTCATCAAACACGACCCACTTTCTAAGCTGCTGACATGGATGGAGAGTGTGAGAGGTTGGCTGCTTGTAAGGCTCAGTTGCAGAGGTGTTTCCTGCAGGACTAGACAAGGGTGGAAACGACTGGAGGCCAGCTCTCAAACAGCCTTTTCCTCTTCCCACTCTCTCTTTCTCTATCCACAGCACCTCTCGAGTTCTCACACCACAACAGTATCCCACCGTTCATCAGGTGCACAGAGGGTCATGTTCAATATTCCGGACTACAGTTCCTCCAGCGATAACGGCCCATTGCTAAGTGCTTCTGGTCTGGCTTGGGTGGCAAGATGGTTGTCCCGATATCCTATCACTCCCTTCCATATGTCAGGCCTGAGCTTGACTCTTTTTTTTCCATTGGCTGCCACAGCACTCTCTATGTAGCTATGCTAATGGGGGCCATCTTAAACCAAAAATAGTGTGGTTGTGTGTAAGAAGAAAGGAAATTTTAACGGTGTTATTAAACTTTACTAATATTACGCTGGAGAGCGAAGCAGCCAAAACACAACTTGGTCTCCACAATTATTATGCCGATGTGGCTCAGTGCCTGAAACTACCATTTAAGACACATGCATAACATAAGCAACACACTCTCACACATAATCATGTGCTGTGTTTGGCACTTTTAGGATCAGGCACGCCCAAACCAATGGAAGACCACACATGTGCACACACCCAGACATATCGTCTATGAACCTGTTCACAGTTCAGTTGAATCCCAAGTCCATAAAGCCATCAGTGAAAAGTGGCAGAAGTTCAGTGAGGTTAATTTGAGATGAGTTTAGATGGAGTTAGTGTGCCCTCCCAGCTCTGGGATCCAAAATAATTATACATTATGTTGATCTTTTGACGCTTTGGCACAGTTGTTGGATGGTGACGCATTGTTTGGTGTCATTTCCTGGCTGATTAAGGGAATGTGTATGAGACAGTGTTGGGTGGAGCAGTTAGTAGACCCCAGTTAGTTTGCCCTAAGATGATGTCAAACCACTTTAATACAATATAATACAGAAATGGAGACTAAAATAGTACATTAAGCAACTTGATGCCTTGGTGTTTTCACGTATGTTACAATTTTAAAAGAATGTGTCTTAGAAAACATTTTGATCTTTTTTTTTTATTTTTTATCTTTGGTCAAAAAACACAAAGATCTCTCTCCAATCTAAACATGTTCCATTACACCCATGAGCACTTTAAGATGGCCAATCATAACATTTACATGTTATGTCATTTACATATATACAGTAGGGATCAAAATTAGAGAACAATTTATGAACGATTTATTAATTTATTATTTTTTCCCCCAGAAATCATCGTTCAAAATTTCAAGGAATTTTAGTTGGGGCTATATCATGCTAGTAGAACAGAGTTTTACAAAATAACAACCTCCTCCTCCTTTCACTGATTCTTTACGCACTTGGGCATCAGTCTTTCCTCAGTTTGACGCAAAACAAAATGTTTCCTATCAGACCCAAATAAATTAAACTTGCTCTCATGATTAAAGTGATAACTAAAGTGATCCTTACACTGTTCAGTGCTGAACTGGAAAGCAATTTTGCAGCTGCAGTGTTGAACCGATTTCCCATTTAGATTCTCCACGTTATCCTGTTCTCTCGTGCATTTGTCTTTTGTGGACGACCAGTCTTTTTGGGGGACTTGAATGAGTACGTGACATTGTAAAGATGGAATATTCTAGAAATCACAGATTTGGAACAACCAACTTCTCATGCTGTGGCTGCTATTGGCCTTCATCTGGACAATCTGCTGTCGGAGGGTTTTAGTCACTTTAGAACGACTAACCACCTTGCAAAGCCAGTGAAAAAATGGAAAGTTAGGCTGCCAGTTAAATAGAGCTTGTCAGATAATTAAGGAAATTAGCATGACGTGCCAGATTAACACCAATGTTGTTCTCTAATTTTGAAAAATCTCCACTGTCGTAGTCTTAAAGGTACAGTAGCAAAACCACTATATATTTTTCAGTCTGGCTTATTTACTCAATTGTAGCTCTCCGAGCGATGGTGTAAAATAATCATGTAAAATGAAATTCATGTTTATTTTGGTGGGAGAATTGTACATAAGAATAGAATATGCTGCAGTAACAGACTGTAAAGGTGCATCTTAATTCTTCTCCCAGTTAGTGGAACCACAATAAGGTCAGCACTCACAGGCTTAGACAAACACGCAAAACAGCTTCCTGGTGCTGACTGGGCATTCGAACACAATGGAGCGAGTTTGCTGTGGAAGAATACTTTCAGACCGAGGGCTGTGACACAGGAAGCACTCACCCCCTGACACAGGTTCATTGGCAGCCTGTGATTACAGGTCAGAGGTTGTAGTGCATCAAGAAGCCTATTGTAAGTCATGCTGGACAGTACGGGTGAATGCAGGCTTGCAGCTGATGGCATATGTGATAACACATAATTACACACATTCCAGATATGGAGACATTTTCCAATTATCAGACACTCTGTCTTGCATCAAGCCCTATCAGTGTAAAACACAATTATTTTCAAATATTGAGTGAATTTCCAGAAAATATTAAAGCGTATACATTTTAAAGCTCATAAATTTATGGCAAAAAAAGCAGCTGTGCTTGCCAGAAATTCTGCATTAAAAATGCAGTAACAATGTGATCATTATTACAGGAATGCACATTGGTACCTGTATATTTTATAACTTATATCAGTGTCGTTCATTAAGTGATATAATGTTAATATCCCAATCTGAACTATCAAATCTGCTTTTTTGTAATCTTAAAATGTACTTAAATCCAACACGATAATAAAGGCGGTAAAAGCCACCGAACACCCTAATGTACATAAATTATAATAAAAATGTAAAGAAACATTTATATAAAATAACTTACAGTTTTTATTATAGCATATTTATAGTTTTTTCCCCTCTAAAATATGTAAAAAAAAAAAAAAAAATTAAAAAATGTAAGCATTATATATACAAATCTGCATTATTTGTATATCAGTATCAAACCATGTGGCATTTATTTGAAAGAAATATAGTACAAATGCATTTCAATCAATATTTTTAACAAAAAGAAGTATTTAAATTATGAAGCAATATATTGTTTGGCCTTGTCAAAGGACCATACTTGCTCTTAAAATGAAATCCTTCATAATCGCAAGCAAGCAAAGGTTCTAGATCCAGTTTCCTGATGTCATTCCAGCGCAATGTAAAGGTCACTCTGGAAATGTCATGATCTTTCTGGCGTACTTTCACTCATATAGGCAGAAGATGGTCACAGGAGGCCCTATAATCCGCTGTAACATTTGGATAAAGCTCTCTTTGTATGTGAGCACAACGTCTTTCACTAAGGATATGCAAGAAACAGCTGCTGGAAAGATGATTCCAGAACTCTGATGGCCTCTCGAAGGGCTTTCTGTTCACTTTCTATCTCTTTCCACACACACACTTACAAACCTGTTGATAGTCGCAGCTTACTTGCTCAAGCCTGTCACCCACATAACCAAAGGGAATCCCTTTTTTAACTCTGTGTACAAATCTCTGTGCACTTTTTCTTCCCCCTTGGCATCACCCAAGGGCAGTACGCCGCTCCGGTTGATAGCAGCTCCTGAACCGTGTCAGGACAATTTAACTGTTTGCTACCCCAAACACTGACCACTTTTCCTGTCACACTGGCCCCATACTCTTGACACACTCATAAATAGCATGCGTTTACGCATTGGCAGGCTTTCTGGAATCGGTGACTCCACGCCACTGCCGTCCAGCTCAGCTGTTCTGCATGCTTCAGTAACATTCATGGTGTGTAGACGGCTAAATATCCCATAGGCCTCTCCTATTCCCGTGAAAGCATCCCGTCTTTGGCATGAAAGGCCCGTGACCCAGACTTGTATATTTTCAGCTCTTTGTAAATCCGTTGGGTGCATGCCTAGTCTAATGCCAAGGGCACACTTCCTCTCTTCCCCTCCCCGGTTTCCTGTTTTGCCAGTGATGTCATTAGGACGCAAAGAGAGGGTTGTCGGGCATCTTTCCTTGACAACAAAGTTCTTCCCACGCCAAGTGAGACCATTAATACTGACCTCAGTCCCTTGCAGTCGAAGACTGAAACAAAAGAACTGAGGGGTTTCCTCTATCTTTACTACTGACTCAATGTTTTTTTTAAGGCGTGTGGTGTAAGTTGGTCGCTCTTATCAGCGTGTGACCTCATACACAGACATTTCAGAGGCCATATTACTCTTTTGTGGTTAGTCGAACATCCAACAGTGCTTCTGAAATATGTGTTTGAATAATTTGTTAGTTACTCTTACAGTTGCTCATGCCCTGTTGGGGTGTTTTAAGGAAGTTTTAACGATTATAATTGGGATTTCCACGACTGAATTGAACTGAAATTATACGGCTAAAATTCTTGAATTTTAATTGAGTTTTAATTGGCATAGCAAATGCGCTCTACAATTGCAATTAGAAATTCAGTTTAATGAAGTGAAATTAAAATGAATTGAAATTTTAAAAAATTGTGTGGAATAAAAAGATTCACTTTCAAAAAGACTTGTTTGAAAGTATAAAAACTAGTGCTGTCAAACGATTAATCGTGATTAATCGCATCCAAAATAAAAGTTTGTGTTTACATAATATATGTGTGTGTACTGTGTATTTATTATGCATACATGCATGTATTTATTTCAGAAAATGTTTTGTTTATATGTTAAATATATTTATTTATAATATAAATTATATGAATATAAATAGACATGTAAATATTTTCAAAATATATACTGTATGTGTGTATTTATATATACATAATACACATAAACAGAACACACGCATATATTATGCAAACAAAAACTTTTATTTTGTATGCGATTAATCGCGATTAATCGTTTGACAGCACTAGTAAAAACTATTTAAAAAAATGATGGAAGTTTAAAGGTCATATAGACCTTTACTATTATCTATTAAAATGCTAATATCTAAAAAATTTAATTGATATTAATAAGTAATATGTTTCTTAATGTTTTTAATTAATATATATTTCAAAATTTGGGCTCAGTAAGTTTTCTTTTTCTTTTTTTTCTTTTTTTTTTGTAAGAAATTACTGTTTTCACCAAAGACACATTAATCAAAAGTGACAGAGACATTTTACATTTGTTATAAAAATGTCTTCCTAAAAATGTTTATTGTTATATAATTTCTTAAAATAGAAAACATGTTTACAATATGACGGTTTTAATTTATTACTTTATTTTTACTGTGTTTTTAATCAAATAAAAACAGTCTTGGTGAGCATAACAGACTTCTCTCAAACAGATTAAGAAATCTTGGCAACCCCAAACTTTTAAATAGTGATAGTAATATAAATTTATAACTTGAAAAAAAACTCTTTCTTCATGAACACATACAATTTTATCGACAAGAATAGAAGAAAACTTCATTTCCCAGCTGTTGCACTTCATTCGTCTATCCTTCCAAAAAATTGAATTCAGTTTCCTGTGGTTTGTGGCAACTGTGGTTTAAATTCATGATTTTAAAACAAGCCAGTTCTTGTTCAACCCTTTTTATGTACTACAATCATATTCTGTGGGTACTGTGATTTGCATCCTGGAAAGAGTTTGGTTCTCAAATAATCTAATATCTTAATCTTTTCTCTCTCTCTCTCTCTCTCTCTCTCTCTTCTTCTAGGCCTTTTATGTATCGGACCTCTTCAAACCCAAAGCCAAGGCTGCCACTCCACCTCCCTCGCCAATCAAGAAAGAGCTCCTCCCCTCTTCTGACATCATAGACAGGAACAACCATCACAACATGGTGTAAGAGGGGGGGAACGGGAGGATCCGTTTGCAGTCTCCCCATCCCTCACCACCCCCCCGAATCCCCTGAAGAAACCAGAACAGCCACCTGTGACAGAGGAGCTCCGGCTTAGCTGAAGCCTCCTCTCTCTCATCTGACAGTAGAATGTAGGGACATGACAGAGACAATCCTATTGACCTCACTATCCTAGAGCCCGATTCGAAAGGCCAAACAAGACACAAAGCTAACAAAAAAGCGATTTCTCCCTCAAAATATTGCGGAGAATGAATTGAGCTCCTTTGACGAAAGTAATACACAGATGCAAACGAAAGGAAGAAGAGAGTGAATGTGAGGCTGGTCACGTGACCAGCGCTTCTCTCTTGTATCTGTGGCCTTTCAACAACAGTATAGGACAACAAATTCCTTATTAATAGGAATGATTCGTTTTACCTGCGATGTAATTAGCACAGATATATAAACAGTATAAAGAAGAATAACTTATAGCACTATATCCAAGTTCATTAAACGTCACCACTCGCTATCTGAGAAGAGTAGCTTTGAGAAGCTTGATGACGGTCTGTACACAAGATCATATTTAGCCATCAAAGCTGATCTTAGCTACCCGAACAGTGGCCTAACTATTGGAGAATGCATTTTAAAGGGTTTTAAATGGCGGGTGGGTGGGTTTACACAAGTTCATTAAACGTCACCACTCGCTATCTGAGAAGAGTAGCTTTGAGAAGCTTGATGACGGTCTGTACACAAGATCATATTTAGCCATCAAAGCTGATCTTAGCTACCCGAACAGTGGCCTAACTATTGGAGAATGCAGTTTAAATGGCGGGTGGGTGGGTTTACACGAGTATTTTCTTAGATAAATAGATTTTTATTTTAGATAATGATTTCACGATGGCCACCGCCCGTCCCTGCCCGAATTCTGGGGGCGTGGCTGAGCCGTGCCGCCTCGCTGTCTTCTGATTGGCCAGGGGGTGGGGTTAGACATCGGGGAGGTGTGTCTCATCATCTCGGTCATCGGGATTGACTCCCACTGACCGCACTGGCACATTTTTTTTTTATTTTGGAACCGGGAACGAGCTTCTTCCGCTGGCTGGTTTGACCTCTTTCCCTTCCAACGGCATAATCACTCAACTCTAGTTGTGTGTTTTTACCCAGAATGCCACCTGTGCCCAATGTCCACCTGTCCTGGCACGAGTCAAACTGCCCCGAGAAGGGGATGTGGGCTCCCTCGGCAGGACGCTCTGTCCCATTTGTATGTGTCGCGTGTGTTTCCGCACCTGGTCCTGGTGCAGTGGACCGATACCATGTGAAGAAACTTAAGAAAACTGTGGACTTTTTTTTTTCTTTTCTTTTTCGAAATGCCTTTTCTTAGCCTCGATGTTCCTATCGTGATGATATCTACTGTCCCCACTAACAGCTGTACAGTACTGCCTGACTATTACAGAAAACACATCCATACAACACAACTCAAGCTCCAAATGTGTTGCACATCCCTCCCATTGTATAGTCCGTCCTATCATTTCAACAAACCGTTTTATTTCTCTCTCAGAAGTATATAAATAATGTATAGATCACTAAAATTAACTATGTAAGATATTATTTCTGAACATGTTTAGATATATCCACTATGAATCTAAAAAGCAATGTGTCATGACCTGTGTTATTTACAAAGTGCTGCTTTTATGAGCATTGATTGACAGATTTTTTTATTTAGGTAACCAAAATATTGTAGATTTGTGATAGTACGTTTTTAATAAGCGTTGAATAAAACACATACAATGTTATCAAATTCACTTTTAGTATTTTTGTATTGTCTCATTTTGTACAAAAGAAATAATAGCTAAATGTTTTAGTTTTTTTTCTGCTAAATGTACTTATCTCCAATACATGTGCTTTTAAATAAAAGCTCATTATAAACAACAAAAACGTTTTGGCTTCTTAATGAATGAATGTTTGTTATTATTGCGTGAAATTGAAATTGTCCTAGTGTTCAATGAGTTAAAAACTTCAAACAATATTTTATGTGCCATTTTGCATTTCACTTATACAATTTCTATTTTATTATATATTAAAGTGTAATTTAAACAAATTTTCAGCATCATTACTCAAGTTTTCAGTGTCACATGATCCTTCAGAAATCATTCTAATATGAGATTTTATTTATTTTTATTCTTTCATTTATTTGAAATTATATATGGCTGTTTCCACCACTAAATAAAAAAGGCAATTGCGACTGTTTATCTCACAATTCTGACAATTTTTTTCTCGCAATTGTGAGTTTACATCTTGCAATTCAGAACTGTTTTTCTCAGTTGCATGATAAACTGGCAACTTATTTTTTTAAATCAGAATTGCATGTTTTTAATCTCTCAGTTCAGACTTATTTATCACAATTGCAAGTTATAAAGTCCAGTTTATATCTTGCAATTCTCGCAAGTTATAAAGTCCAGTTTATATCTTGCAATTCTCGCAATTGGGAGGTTATATTTCACCATTCTGAGATAAAAAGTCAGTCACCTTTTTTTATTTTTTTATTCAGTGGTGGAAACGTGCTTGCATAGTAATATCCTTTTTTTGTAACATTATAAATGTCTTTACTGTCATTTTTGACCAATTTAATGCCTCTTTGCTGAATAAAAGCAACTTAAAAATAAAAAAAGTCTTACTAAACTTTCCATGTACTTTCAATCTACATTTATTATGGGTACACTGTGTTACCATAAATGTGAAATTGTCCTAGTGTTCGATGAGTAAACTGCATTAAAGTTTCAAATAGAACATTTTTATGTGCCATTTTACGTGTTACTCATGTACCCGCTATAAAAAGTTTGAAGAAGAAGCCAAATGAATTGTCTTGGAATGAAAAAGTTTTTAATACCGTCAGCATGTTTTAATCAGGGCCGGGCGTTCTTGTTTTCCTAGGGCCAAAACTGTGACTTCATATTTTGGCTGTGTGTACTAGATCATCATTTCTAATGTTGACGGTGGTACGCTGTCATATTCTCCACCGTTAAGCCTTGAAACCTCAGCGTATAGCTGAAACATCTCTACAAATTACTGTAAAATGCAACTAACCAATCTAATTGAACAGCTTAATAAGGGGAAATGATGTCGGTAAAGGTTGGTGCATTGAATTGTGGGTATGTTACATCAGTGGGTTGGGTTCAGGCCAGGTTTGGGAGGTCTGATGGATCGTGGCGATGGTATTGAGAGCTGTTCTGGTTCTGTGGTCATGTTTGGCTGTGGGGTGAGAGCTGAGGCGGCCTGTAGGCAGGACAGATGCCAGCACTGAAGAAAACCGGTGAAGTTGTGTTACTCTTACTGCCGTGAGCCTCGGCACACCTGTGGTTTTGGACTTTGTATTTCACTGGTTTTGCACTGACATCTACAGTAAGCCACCAAACTAGTCATGCCTCAGGTTGGAACTTAATTAACCTGAATTTGTATGTGTGTTTGTATAAGGCAGATTATGTTAAATGCTGATTGCAATCAACTGCCACAATCCTGCAGATGATTAAATGTAACTTCCATGCTCTTCATGCATACTGCAGCTAATCTGATCACTCTTCAAATGCATGAATAGGTCATGTAAATTCTGTAGTCAAAAGCAGCAATTACACATTATTTTATGATATAAATGTAAAAGGAATGTATTTAAATGTTCAATCTTTTGTTTATAGATGTGAAAATTGTGTGTACAATTATTTAAATAAAATGTGACCCTGGACCACAAAACCATAAGGGTAAATTTTTTGAAATTGAGATTTATACACCATCTCAAAGCTGAATGAATAAGCTTTCCGTTGATGTATGGTTTGTTAGGATAGGACAATATTTAAGAGGAAAGGAAGCGAGAAAGGGAGGTGGACGTCATCTCGACAACCACTCAAAGATGTCAAAGTTGAATGCAAGGGTTAAAGGTGATGGTATATAAAAAGCACACATTCAGACACGTGTTAACTGTAAAATAAAGGCACAGTTTAACTGAAAGCTTGAGCTGATTTTTAGGACAACAGTTAAAAAAAATCAGGTTGGGGCAAGTTGTCACAGTGTTATTCTACTATTACTTATCAACTATTATAGTATTCGCTGATATTTTGAATTAGATTTTATTTTTATATTTTCAGATTTCATTTATTTATTTTAGTTTAGGTTTTAGTAATTTTTTGATATGTACTTTTGTCGTTTTTATTATGATTTTGTTCTATATTTCTACTTGGCTATAATTTATTTTTATTTCAGTTTTAGTAATTTTAGTACTTGAACTTAAACTGATCTATTTCAGTTAATTGCCAAGACAGCTTTTCTCATTTTTGTATAATGATATAATTTCGCATTTTATTTTATTTTATTTTTAGATGCTTTAGCAATCTCAATGTGCTTTTGTCATTTAATTACTTTATTATTTTCTATATTTGCATTTAGCGATAATTTATTTTTATTTCAGTTTTAGCAATTTAAGTACTTAAACTAAAACTGGTTTCATTTATTTTGTAAAACAACTTTTCTCATTTTTGTATGCAATAATTTTGGATTTTTTTTTTTTTTTATTATATTTAACTTTATTTTATTTTAACTACATAAAATTATTTCGTTTTTATAGATTATAGTTTTAGTTAAGGTTAGGGTTACATTTATAAAAAAAAAGCAATGCTGGTTCTCTTTTAAATGTCATTTCATACAGTTTATGTTTGATATTTATGTACATTTATATTCCTTCTGTTTCATGAATTGTCTGGTGTTTTGTGATGTTTTACTTTTTAAATTGACCTGAAAAGCTTATAATAGACTGGTTAATGGCAGCTTTCATTGTAACAACTTACCCCATAGCGTCAATGTGTGCTCAATGAACTGTATTGTTTTTTCTGTATCTTTTTTCCCCCCGCAATAACGGTGAAATATTATATATACATACACCAGAAAAATATTCACAGGAGTAAAAAGTGTGACAACCCTAGTCTCTCCAAAGGGTTGATTTTATTTTATTTTATTTTTAGATGCTTTAGCAATCTCAATGTGCTTTTGTCATTTAATTACTTTATTATTTTCTATATTTGCATTTAGCGATAATTTATTTTTATTTCAGTTTTAGCAATTTAAGTACTTAAACTAAAACTGGTTTCATTTAGTTGCTAAAACAACTTTTCTCATTTTTGTATGCAATAATTTTGGGAAATTTTTTTTTTTAATTATATTTAACTTTATTTTATTTTAACTACATAAAATTATTTCGTTTTTATAGATTATAGTTTTAGTTAAGGTTAGGGTTACATTTATATAAAAAAAGCAATGCTGGTTCTTTTTTAAATGTCATTTCATACAGTTTATGTTTGATATTTATGTACATTTATATTCCTTCTGTTTCATGAATTGTCTGGTGTTTTGTGATGTTTTACTTTTTAAATTGACCTGAAAACCTTATAATAGACTGGTTAATGGCAGCTTTCATTGTAACAACTTACCCCATAGCGTCAATGTGTGCTCAATGAACTGTATTGTTTTTTCTGTATCTTTTCCCCCCCCCGCAATAACGGTGAAATATTATATATACATACACCAGAAAAATATTCACAGGAGTAAAAAGTGTGACAACCCTAGTCTCTCCAAAAAAGATGAAAGGGTTATTTATGGTGAAAGAAATGAGTTACCGGTGTTTGACGCACAGCAC